GACCGAAACTTAAGTGATACAGTGTAGTACTAATAACAACATACTTACATAGATACATAGATTTATTTAATCAAATATCAACATAAAACATTATGAAAACAGAATAAAACATTAACAGACATGTAAACATACTAAATTCTTAAAATCTTAAAACAAATGATGATACCTAAACAGGATTGCCCATGAAAACCATACGGCTTATTTCCAATGCATGGGTCCATTTATGTTACATTCTTAAAGATATTAAATACATAATTATAAGAAATCATGAATTTGGAAGATTTATACAAATTATGTTAAAATTATAAATTACGATGATATTGACTAGAATATTTAAGCAATTCAATAAAATAAAAATTTGCTATTAAAATCGTTGCTATCCATTTTTGGCAGAAAATCTTTAACACCAGATTTATAAGATTCAAAATTTATGTTGCTCTTTAAATCATTTGGCAACAAGTTCTAATCCTTTATAGCATTGTAATAAAATATTAAAGTCTGCAGTTGCCCTTTTATAGGTGGTATAAAAATTGTATTCACTATAGATCGTGTTGAATAATTATAACACTCTTTGATCTAAGTATAAAATTGCCTTGCATTTAGTAATATATTTTATGTACATGGTTGAATTGTTTGACTCTATTTTCTACATCCAAAAAAAAAAACAATGCTACATTTAATACATTAAAATTTACAGAAGTTCTATTTCACGCTAACCATATAGCTGCAATGGGTATTGAACGGAAATGTTATTGAACCAACAAACTCCGACGACTCACTTAAATAGGTCTTCAATTAAGAACGAATAAACGAGAAAATGAAATAAATATTAATGACTGTATTAAGTAATAGTCAAAAGAAGAAACCACTCCTTAATGGGCTATGGGAACAAACAACCGAATATAATATCTAAAAGGCTTATATTCTCCTACGATTTTCATATGGCTTAGAAATTTAACCTATGACAAAAAGTCAAATTGAGCCAGATAAATTTCCTAGAAATACTTTCAGACACATTATGTGACATACAATCGATGCCACAAAGAACTGCTACTTCAGCCATTTACCTACAATAATTAACCAGAAAAATGATCCCCGAAGACTGCCGACGGTCATATAACCCGATATACACATGCATGAATATGAATATAAATAGAAAGCGAGCATGTGCAATTGGATTTTTCTAGGTCTGCTTGATTTCATATTAAAGGTTAAAACATATGTTAATCATCGTTTTTATCTGTATAGGAATGATGTTTGTGGATTGAATCAGTCAACCAAATGGTTCACCCTTGTTTTACATTCAATGTTGACATTCTTTTCCTTTTAATAGCTGTCTAGCCTGCACACGTGTAACCCATCTCTAGCTAAGGGGTTAAATTGAAGCTCACATGAATACGGATTAAATGATTAAATTATTGACTTGCAAGTAAATAATACATCAGCGATGTTATTAATAATGGGTTTATTTTGACATATTTGGGCCAAACTGACTGCTTATAACAAAATATTATTTAAAAATTCCGCTTTTATTCTAGTACTTAAAACAAAAAGGATCTTATTTTATTTATTTTTTTAAATCGAAGCTAATGCCCCTTTAAATATATGTAAGCTGCCTAACACCATAGAGTCGGAACTCCGCGTATATATACACTACACTGCAACTTACAGTTCTTGTCACTAGGTCCCTTTGGTATCTTTCGCCTCTCTTTTTCTTGACGTTCGTAAAGGCATTATTTAAAGTAGGATGATGAGAAGAACATATATCCTATACAGGCAGGAAAGACATAGCAGATATGATACAGCACCAACTTATCAACTTAATGTATAGCCAAAATCGGAAGATCTTCCGCATATGCTATCTATATGCCCAGCGTTAAAGCGGAAATGTTATTGAACCAACAAACTCCGACGACTCACTTAAATAGGTCTTCAATTAAGAACGAATAAACGAGAAAATGAAATAAATATTAATGACTGTATTAAGTAATAGTCAAAAGAAGAAACCACTCCTTAATGGGCTATGGGAACAAACAACCGAATATAATATCTAAAAGGCTTATATTCTCCTACGATTTTCATATGGCTTAGAAATTTAACCTATGACAAAAAGTCAAATTGAGCCAGATAAATTTCCTAGAAATACTTTCAGACACATTATGTGACATACAATCGATGCCACAAAGAACTGCTACTTCAGCCATTTACCTACAATAATTAACCAGAAAAATGATCCCCGAAGACTGCCGACGGTCATATAACCCGATATACACATGCATGAATATGAATATAAATAGAAAGCGAGCATGTGCAATTGGATTTTTCTAGGTCTGCTTGATTTCATATTAAAGGTTAAAACATATGTTAATCATCGTTTTTATCTGTATAGGAATGATGTTTGTGGATTGAATCAGTCAACCAAATGGTTCACCCTTGTTTTACATTCAATGTTGACATTCTTTTCCTTTTAATAGCTGTCTAGCCTGCACACGTGTAACCCATCTCTAGCTAAGGGGTTAAATTGAAGCTCACATGAATACGGATTAAATGATTAAATTATTGACTTGCAAGTAAATAATACATCAGCGATGTTATTAATAATGGGTTTATTTTGACATATTTGGGCCAAACTGACTGCTTATAACAAAATATTATTTAAAAATTCCGCTTTTATTCTAGTACTTAAAACAAAAAGGATCTTATTTTATTTATTTTTTTAAATCGAAGCTAATGCCCCTTTAAATATATGTAAGCTGCCTAACACCATAGAGTCGGAACTCCGCGTATATATACACTACACTGCAACTTACAGTTCTTGTCACTAGGTCCCTTTGGTATCTTTCGCCTCTCTTTTTCTTGACGTTCGTAAAGGCATTATTTAAAGTAGGATGATGAGAAGAACATATATCCTATACAGGCAGGAAAGACATAGCAGATATGATACAGCACCAACTTATCAACTTAATGTATAGCCAAAATCGGAAGATCTTCCGCATATGCTATCTATATGCCCAGCGTTAAAGCGATACCAGAAAATATACCTTTTTGACAAACATATACTATATAATTGAATATATTGGAAAAGTGAAATGGAAAGATATTTTATAGGCAGAATTGTGATCACAATTCCCTTATAGTAGACTGTACAAATTTCAAGGGTGTGCTCATTACCATCTGGGACAAGATCGATTTTAAATTGACAAAAAGCTGAATAGAGCTTATGTTTTCTGTATACTAATATCCGTCTACAAATAAAGCTTTTGAACTTGAACGATATAGGAGACTTAGGAAGCTTAAACAAGGAGCATGTGTTATAGAATGCACATTATCAGACTTAAATTGATCAAAGTGTGTATATATGTCTGCTGACACCCATCACCCTAAATTTGATAACTTTCAAGCGTTAATAACTATATTTCGCTAACTCTAAATTGCGTGTGTATATAGTCTCAAGACTCTGTACAACAAATACAAATGTCGAGTGGTGGAGGGAGTATAAGTGTAAGCAATAAATATGCCCTCGGGGTAATAATGTGTCCGTCATAGTATAAATTTAAATTCAAATTCAATTCAATTCAAATTCAAATTCAAAGTTTTATTTAAAGTCGATATTCAATAAACTACATAAACACAAGCAGTCTTGTGAGCTTTTCAAATCGATTGAATAACAACATATATACACACACATACATAAGTCATGAAAACAACACAATTTTAAACATACAGTGCATAGAAAGATACCATAGATGACATATAAAAATTAAAAGCATAGTATGCAAAATAAAGTATATCTTAAAACATAGCACAAGTTAAAATGATAAGAACAGTAGATAATAGCAACTAAAAAAGCTAAACAAATCAAATTGTCACACAAAAAATAAAACATCAAAAAAGCACAGGCATAAAAACACTATATGCATGCACTGCACTGGCATGAGCTGTTATCTGGATCCCATGTTTGTACCAATTTTTTGAATTGTTCAAAAGATGTTTCCATTCGACAATGGTTAGGCAGCTCATTCCAGATTTGTGCAGCATTATATAGCGATCGATCTTAAACCATACCTTGTAGTTCTGACTCTCGGGAGTACTGCTGTTTTCTGTGATCTTGAATCATACTTCTGAATTTTGATATCTATTAAATCATGAGGATAGCTTGGACTTTTTTTGTGAATTATTTTAAAAGTTTCTTTTGCAATAGTTTTTATTTTCTTATTTTCAAAGAAGGTAATTTTGACTTTTCTAGCAGATTTTCGTATGAACTATGATAATCTTCATAGATGAATCTAAGAGCTCTTTCTTGATTTTTTTTCCATTTTAAAAGATTTTTTTTTCGCTACAGTAGTGCCAAATTACTGGACAATAGTTAAAATTCGAAAGATGCTGTTAACCGACCTAGCCTGTTTAAATATTTACCCATTCGTTTTAGAATATTTAATTGTCTTGATGCCTTTTTACATATCTCAGATATATGATGGTTAAAGTTTAAGTCCGAATCTATAGTTATTCCAAGAAGTATAACGTTTTCTTCACAATTAAGAAATTTGTTTCCATTTAAATTGAATGTCAATTAAATTGTGTTTATTTGTAAAAAATGTCCATGGTCACAGAATTTACTAGTATTTTTAATCTGGTGTCAGTAAATAATGTTCACAGATAAATTTTCCTAGGTTTATAAGTCCGTGTCCTTAATATTCTTAGGTAAAAATGTCCTTTATTTCAGTAGGGAATTTCTTTGAAGATCTTTGGACTGAACATGTGAATACAGAAAGAAATAATTCAGATGTAAACAAGGGAATGTTCTTACATTGTAAAGTTTGAATATTTTTTTTAACTTTTGTACTTCAATAATTCTTTCTTTTATTAAAATATATTGAAACTTAACAAACTAAAATAATTACACTCAACTTTTTACACTACAGACTGACTGAGTTTCGTTTTGTTCATTGTAATCCATCATTTTCGAAACTAATTTAAATACAAGTCACGTGGGCAATTAACATAATACCCCAAGCGAACGAACGCCATTTTGAAAGCAAGGAACACGCTAACTCCAAGGAAAAAGACAAAAGAATTATTTCAAGAAACGACTACTACATCGAAAGGCTTTAAAATGCAGAACACTACACCCAACAAAACCACCAATCAGCCTAACAATAAAGAAGGAAGTGCCTCAAAAGATCAGAATAAAGACAACATAAAAAAAGAAGCAACGCCACATCACACTCATGGACAAAATCACAATCAAAGAGGTTTTGGAGGAAGAGGACGCGGTGGCAGAGGTGGTCGAGGAGGAGGAGGAAGGGGTGGTGGAGGACAAATGGGTGGGCAAAATAGAGGACCAGGTGGAAAGGGTAAATAAAAAATAAAATAAAAAGGGGGGTTAATAATGTCGAGAATAATGGCCTCTCGTTTATTGAATATTGTTTGAAATGCACACTTCAGATTAATAATATTTAAATGATCCTTTTTTATAGACTATAGGGTATGACCAGGTTCATATTTGTATGGAAAAAAAACATGTGGAATATCCTCTGATACACAAAGCATACCACACATTAATATCACAGCAACATTTGAGAATGAGATGCTGCAATCTTGATAAAAATTCTGACACTGCCATCTTACTCAGCATGCAATATACAGATCGAATAATCTTTTGTTTTTAGCACTCTCAGATGAGGGATTGTTACTTGTTTATTTGGCGGGTTGTCTGATCCCAACCTTTTCAACAATGTCAATGAGCAAAACCCATCCTGCATAGTCACCTAAGTCGGCTATAATTTATAAAAGTCCTGGTAATGACAAATGTTAAACAATTCAATGAGAAAACTAACGGCATGATTTATGCATACAAAATGAATGAAAAACAAATATAAACAGCAACAAACAACAACTAGAGAATTACAGGCTCCTGACTTGAGACAGGCACATACAGAATGTGGCAGGGTTAAACAATTTTTAACCATCAGAACAAAAACCCAGCGAGACAGTCCCACAATAGAAACTATTTCATTCTTCGGTTTTTATTGTAAGGTATAGTGAATAGATTGATATATAATGTTTATTGTATAAATGTTATCATATAATAACCAAAGTCATTAATTGTCATTGGTAACAATTCCAACATGAAGCCTGGCTTCTATTTTTAAACTAAGATTACCACAATTCAGCTGTCCTGTAAACATGGTCAACATCAAAGTCTGGTGCTGTGGAGGTTCCTTCCCTTAGTTTATATCATCAAGAGATTGTACATCACTTGAATGTTTTGCATTGGGAACCAATGGTCAAGAGATTTAGTTTAAGATTTCAATACATTTTTAGGACTTACAAAATTGTATTACACCACATACCCCCACTTATAGACTAAACATGTAGGATACATTGCATTAACCTTGTTTGTTGCTCTGTTTTTTATGTCACAGTTTTTTTCAGCTACTATTGAACTGAATACCTAATCAATTTAAATTTCACACTTTTCTCAAGTACAACTAAACAGAAATACTGTATTTTGTCAGCAGCTTGATAGCCACAAGTTGTAATGACTAATGTTCAAATACCTTTTGGATCTGTGAGCTCTTTTTCATCAAACTTTTATTAAAGTAATTGATGATTACACTATATTTTTATTATAGTCAATTAGATTATGATTACATGTAATGAAAAAATTTGATGAACAACAGATTACTGTTGATTACTCTGGAAAATGTAATCGTTTACAATTGATTCTGATTATGATTATCCCATCCCTGGTTTGCTGATACTTTGTAGGGTCTGCTCTGTTTACAGATATTACTACTATTGAATAGAATTATTTTGAATTTGGTCAGCAGCCTAGCAGTGATGAGTTGTAGCGTGCATGTGTCTTTTGGATCTGTTGAACACCTTCCTGTTTTCCTCTTCTTTCAATTGTGAATTGGAGCATGCTTATCAGGACAACACATGCATTCTTGTTCAATTTACAGACTGAAAAACTAAATATTCATGTATACATTTCTGTACATTTTTCAGGAGGTGGTCAGCATCAGGGTCAACAGCAATTTGGTGGTCATGGTGGTGGTGGTGGTCATGGTAGTAATTATGACACAGTCTTCCTACCAGTCAATGAAGGCCCCAAAGAACAGAAAAAATTCACTGGAAGATGCAGACTATTTGTTGGTAACATAACTCCGGATACAACAGAAGAAGAGTTTAAAGATCTGTTCAAACCATATGGTGAAATCAATGAATGTTTTGTAAATGGAGCTAAAGGTTTTGGCTTTATAAGATTGGTAAGGACAATAAATTAAATATAAAGACATCAATCTCAGTTTCTAGGAGAAATCTCCACTGCACAACTGTTTGAAATTCGTCCACTTGTCTTAAATTAGTAGTCCCATACCTGTGAAGACAAGGGGACTATGAGGTTTGTAGTCTGTTCATCCAAGAAGTTTTACAAATCTTCAATCTTCTGATAAGATGTTTTGTATGTAGTCATATCACCAGAAGTTACAGATCAAGTTTGTGTTCTGTTTTTTGTTATAATTTTCCACATTTTCAAAACTAAATTGGTTTTTATATGACTGCAAAAAAAATTTGTGGTTGTATATTGGTATGACATTGGCATCGTCGTCCGAAGACAGATGGGTTTTCGCACTCTAACTTTAGTTTAAGAGAATGGATCTCTATGAAATTTTACTACAAGGTTCAATACCACAAAATGAAGGTTGGGATTGATTTTGGGGGTTATGGTACTTACAGTTAAGGAATTAGGGGCCAAAAATAAGCATTTTTGTAACTTCCAGACATAACTTGTGTGTAAGTGTATGGATCTCTCTGACATTGTACCACAAGGTTCCATATCACAAAAGGAATGCTGGGATTGATTTTGGGGGTAATTGCCTCCCAAGTTTTAGGAATTAGGGGGCAAAAAACAAGAATTTTTCTAGTTTCATGACAATAACTTGTGTGTAAGTCTATGGATCTTTCTGCAATTGTACTACAAGGTTCCATATCACAAAGGGAAAGCTGGAATTGAGTTTGGAGGTAATTGCCCAAAACGTTTAGGAAAAGGGGACCAAAAGGGGGCAAAAAATAAGCATTTTTATACGACCGCAAAAAAATTTTTGTGGTCGTATATTAGTATGTCTTCGTTGTCGTCCGAAGACACATTAGTTTTCACACTCTAACTCAGGGTTTAAGCTAGGATTTTGAGGGCTTAAGTCACTTTTGCGCGAGATGAAAATCAACATTATTTTGGGTAACAGCAAGGGACCAAGGATGTATGTATATCACTAGCTATACATCTTTGTTAGACTTTAAAGGACTAAGACATTTACTAGGCAGTTATTGCATGATTTGACTAAAGTAGCACTTAAATATGAAGATTAGGATATAAGATCTGGAAATCTAGTTCAAAATTTCACTTCAATTAGTTTCAGGGGACATTCCTGATCAACAAAAGTTGGGTTCCATCTTTTTTAAACCAGGAATCACAGTATAAATGAACTTGTAGAACTTTGTATTTGTAAGACTATTTCACTGCATAATCATTTTCCTCATAAAACGTTTATATCGATATTTGGAATTCATTTCTATAAAGTTGGAAACAAGGATTTGTACAAATCCTTATTGGAACGATTCTTATAACTGTAAATTCTAAATTAATGAAGAATTGATCACGTTTACTTTCGATTTTCAAATGAAATGTAAACGGGAAGTGACAAGTAGATAATAAATTCAGAATGAATCCGGATTCGTCTACGGATTGGTTCGTGTTTAAAAAAGGCAGGAAATTATCATTTTTAAATCTAATTCGCTTAGTAAGAACTATATTTGTCTCTCTTGTTTATTTTGATACTAAATTTATCTCGTATTTTACATTTTAGTGTCTATAAATTCATAGGAATACTTTCACGCATGCGCAGTATATCGTAAAGGAAGCACCCGTTTGACTCGTGATTTGAATAAAGTTCTATCTTTTTAATCGAAATTGTCGAAAGTTTTATACCAAAGATGACGAAAATACGTTCATATGACGGAACTACAACAAACGAACTGCAAATTGTGATCGTTTTAAAAATATTGAAATTAAAACGCGAACTGTCTGGGGGAAAACAATTTTGTTCAAATGACGAAACTACAAATTGTGGTCGTTGGCCTTGAGATATATTAAAATTGAAATGCCGACTGGCTGATTTTACTGGGGAAAATAATTATGATGGTCAATTATGAGGTTTATTAATAATTAACGGATTAGTGACCCATCCGATGGCGATAAGCGGATTAACTGTAATCACACATTTATATCACCTTTTGAAAATGTTGAAATTAGCTGAGGGTCATAAACTTGTCAGAAACATGAAGACAGGTAGAATTATAGTATTTTCATGCGAAAATATTTTTACACTTTCCAAATTTAAGTGACGAAATTGATTTGAAATACTTTCGTCATTTTGAAAACAGTTTCGTAAATGACGAGCGCTAGCAAAATCACTGCTCTAACTTTAATTTAAGTGAATGGATCTCAATGAAATTTAACTATAAGGTTCAATACCACAAAAGGAAGGTGGGGATTGATTTTGGGGGTTATGGTACCCACAGTTAAGGAATAAGGGGCCAAAAATAAGCATTTTTGTAACTTCCAGACATAACTTGTGTGTAAGTATATGGATCTCTCTGACATTGTACCACAAGGTTCCATTTCACAAAGCAAATGCTGGGATTGGTTTTGGGGGTAATTGCCTCCAAATTTTAGGAATTAGGGGCCAAAAAGGGGCAAAAAAAAAAGCATTTTTCTAGTTTCATGACAATAACTTGTGTGTAAGTGTATGTATCTCTCTGACATTGTATCACAAGGTTCCATATCACAAAGGGAATGCTGGGATTGATCTTGGGGGTAATTGCCTCTAAATTTTAGGAATTAGGGGCAAAAAACAAGCATTTTCAAATTTCATGACAATAACTTGTGTGTAAATTTTAGTAATTAGGGGCCATAAAAGGGCAAAAAAACAAGTATTTTTCTAGTTTCATGACAATAACTTGTGTGTAAGTGTATGGATCTTTATGAAATTGTACTGCAAGGTTCCATATCACGAAGGGAAAGCTTGGTTTGAGTTTGGGGGTAATTGCCCTAAACGTTCAGGAATTTGGGGCCAAAAAAACAAGCATTTTTCTAGTTTCCAGACAATAACTTGTGTTCAAGTGTATGGATCTCTCTGAAATTGTACTGCAAGGTACCATACCACAAAGGGAAAGCTGGGATTGAGTTTGGGGGTGATGAATCATAAGGGGGTTCAAAAAATTGGGAGGAATTGTTTTTTCCTTTTTTTTCTTTTCAATTTTAATTGGTTATTTCTGATTTATATACAAAAGCAAATAATAATGATATGGTTTGAATAGGTAAATTAAACAATTTTAAGTTCTTAGACGACTTTCATTCTGTGTGAGAAACCTATGCTGTGTCAAATATTTAATTACAAACCAAATTCAGTGCTGTATCAAGCTTAAATGTTGTGTCCATACTTGCCCCAACTGTTCAGGGTTCGACATTTGCGGTCGTATCAAGCTGCGCCCCAGTGGAGCATTTTATTCTAGTTTCCAGACAATAACTTGTGTTCAAGTGTATGGATCTCTCTGAAATTGTACTGCAAGGTACCATACCACTAAAGGAAAGGCTAAGATTGATTTTGGGGGTACTTGTCTCAAAATTTTAGGAATTAGGGGCAAAAAAACAAGCATTTTTTCTAGTTTTAGGACAATAACTTGTGTGTAAGTGTATGGATCTTTCTGAAATTGTACTGCAAGGTTCCATATGACAAAGGGAAAGCTGGAATTGAGTTTGGGGGTAATTGCCCAAAACGTTTCTGAATAAACGGCCAAAAGGGGGACAAAGTAAGCATTTTTATACGCCCGTTTACGGGACGTATTATGGTATACCGTTGTCCGTCTGTCCGTCCGTCTGTCCGTCCGTCCGTCTGTCCGTCTGTCCGTCCGTCGTCAACATGTCGGACATTAACTCAAAAATGCTTTAACCAATTTGCATAAAACTTTGGTGAATTGTTTATATCTATTGACGTGAGCTCCCTTTCGTTTTTTATAAATTTTAGATTTTACGTTTCCGAGTTATGGGGTTTTATTCATTAAAAAAAGGGGGATTTTCCAGTTTTCGGACAATAACTCAAGAATGCTTTCACCAACTTGCAAGAAATTGTGGTGAATTGTTTATATCTATTGACATGAATTCCCTTTCGATTTTTATATATTATAGATTTTACGTTTCCGAGTTACAGGGTTTTTTTCATAAAAAAAAAGGGGGATTTTCCAGTTTTCGGACAAAAAATCAAAAATGCTTTCAGCAGTTCTTATGAAACTTTGGTGAATTGTTTATATCTATTGATGTAAGCTCCATTTAGAATTTTATAAATTTTACATTTTACATTTCTGAGTTATGGGGTTTTATTCATTAAAAAAGGGGGGATTTTCCAGTTTTCGGACAATAACTCAAAAATGCTGTCAGCAATTCTCATGAAACTTTGGTGAATTGTTTATATCTATTGATGTAAGCTCCCTTTACATTTTCATAAATTTCTAATATGACATTGAAAATTAATTGAACTTTATTTGTTTATAGTCTGACAACAGATTTACTAAGTATTGCGCAACAGCACAGTGTATTGCACAACAGCAAGAAATCTTTAATTGAATATAAATTCAATTCATATAACCAATTTCAAGTTCTTTGACTACATTTATTCAGAAACCTATAATATGTCAAATATTTAATTACAATCCAAATTCAGACCTGTCTCAAGCTTGAATATTGTGTCCACTTTTGACCCAACTGTTCAGGGTTGGACCTCTGCGGGCGTATCCAGCTGCGCTCAGCGAAGCAGTTTATTCTAGTTTCCAGACAATAACTTGTGTTCAAGTGTATGGATCTCTCTGAAATTGTACTGCAAGGTACTATACCACACAGGAAAGGCTGGGATTGATTTTGGGGGTAATTGCCTCAAAATTTTAGGTATTAGGGGACAAAAAGGGGCAAAAAAAAAACATTTTTCTAGTTTCAGGACAATATCTTGTGTGTAAGTGTATGGATCTTTATGAAATTGTACAACAAGGTTCCATATCACAAAGGGAAAGCTGGGTTTGAGTTTGGGGGTAGTTGCCCTAAACGTTTAGGAATTTGGGGCCAAAAAGGGGCAAAAAAGTGCATTTTTGTCGAGCCTTCGACTTTTGTCGAAAAAGCGAGACATAGCGATCCTACATTCCGTCGGCGGCGGCGGCGTCCACAAATATTCACTCTGTGGTTAAAGTTTTTGAAATTTTAATAACTTTCTTAAACTATCCTGGATTTCTACCAAACTTGGACAGAAGCTTGTTTATGATCATAAGATAATATTCAAAAGTAAATTTTGTAAAAAAAAATTCCATTTTTTCAGTATTTTACTTATAAATGGACTTAGTTTTTCTGCCAAGAAACATTACATTCACTCTGTGGTTAAAGTTTTTGAAATTTTAATAACTTTCTTAAACTATCCTGGATTTCTACCAAACATGGAAAGAAGCTTGTTTATGATTATAAGATAGTATCCAGAAGTAAATTTTGTAAAAAAAAAAATCCATTTTTTCCGTATTTTACTTATAAATGGACTTAGTTTTTCTGCCAAGAAACATTACATTCACTCTGTGGTTAAAGTTTTTGAAATTTTAATAACTTTCTTAAACTATCCTGGATTTCTACCAAACTTGGAAAGAAGCTTGTTTATGATCATAAGATAGTATCCAGAAGTAAATTTTGTAAAAAAAAAAATCCATTTTTTCCGTATTTTACTTATAAATGGACTTAGTTTTTCTGCCAGTTAACATTACATTCACTCAGTGGTTAAAGTTTTTAAAATTTTAACAACTTTCTTAAACTATCCTGGATTTGTACCAAACTTGGACAGAAGCTTGTTTATGATTAAAAGCTAGTATCTAGAAGGAAATTTTGTTAAAATTTTGTTTGATTTTTTCCGTATTTTACTTATAAATGGACTTTGTTTTTCTTCCAGTTAACATTACATACAGTCTGCAGTTTAAGTTTTTAAAACATTTATTAGATTCATAAACTATCCTTGATTTTTACCAAACTTGGACAGAAGCTACTTACAATCAAAAGATAGTATAGAGAGGAATATTTTTATTTATTTTTTTCCTCATTTTTGTTGAGCCTGCGATTAACAGCAAAAGTAGGCGAGACACTGGGTTCCGCGGAACCCTTACGAATTTTTCTAGTTTCCAGACAATAACTTGTGTTCAAGTGTATGGATCTCTCTGAAATTGTACTGCAAGGCACCATACATTGTAACTCAAAGGGAAGGCTGGGATTGAGTTTGGGGGTGATAAATCATAAGGGGGTTCAAAAAATTTGAGGGGGGATTTTTTTTTTCTTTAAAATTTTCCATTTTAAATTGGTTATTTCTGATTTATATATAAAAGAAAATAATAATGATATGGTTTGAATAGTTAAATTAAAAAAAAATTAAGTTCTTAGACCACATTCATTCTGTGTGAGAAACCTATGCTGTGTCAAATATTTAATCACAATCCAAATACAGTGCTGTATCAAGCTTGAATGTTGTGTCCATACTTGCCCCAACAGTTCAGGGTTTGACCTCTGCGGTCGTATCAAGCTGCGCCCAGCGGAGCATTTTATTGCGCCTTGTTATCTGAAATGCTTGAATTAAGGATATTTGGTATTAAGTCATATAGTGCAGAATTACAGATGGAGATTGAGTTTCTTTCAACTTAAGAGAATTCTGCTAAAGTTGTGGTCCTTTGGCTTTGACATTGAAAATCAATTGAAATTATGTGTATTTTCATTCTGCACTTTTTCCCTTATACCCGATTCTGTATCAGGGCTTCCAAAACTGTTGTATCCGGACATGACTGATAAATTATAAATATGACTTCTTGTGCCAAACCTGAAACGGACATTTAACGTGGGTTTGCCATTTTAACATAATTACTTATGCGATCTTTGTGACCTGACCTTTAGCCTTAAACAGCCACATTTCCGGTCATAAAAGTGACATGGTGAATAAGTACTATCAAAACAAACCCTACTTTAATACCCTCTCATTACAATCAAGGTTAATTAGTTGTCAGACAGTTGAAATTTACCTGTTCAGGTGACGGGTAAACTTAATATGTACCGGACATTGATCTGTCGATTTGAAGTTATTTTCATAAATTTCAGCGGTTTGCATCTAATTAATTTAATCAAAAAGATTTAAATTATCAAAAATATGCATATAAATATGATTTGATGAAAAATTTTAAAAGGTAGTTATAAAGGTTCTAAGCGAAAAAATCGTCAGGACCACATTGTTTGAACAAAGTTCATGCGTGCGCATCTGGCAGTTGTGAGATTTAATTATGCATCTGAATTCTTAATAAATGCCACTGGACGTTAAGCAACCAACAATCAATCTTAATAAATGCTAAAATTATCATTGATGCCTTTATCTAACGTTCATTTCATGTATTTTCTTGAAGAAATAAAGTTGGAAAAAGTTACATTGTACTTTAACTCGATTATGCTTTGTAAACGTACACAGATTTTTCGTAACCGTCTCTGGTCCGTGTTTTACCATTTTCAAGTCAACATCCGGTATAAGAAAATGTACCTTCAAAAACGAAAGTAAAGATTTTGACAACGTTATTTTGCACAAATAAAGATTTTAAGGCAGATATTAGTACGCTGATGTTGCACCCTTTGAATGATGCACTGTCAATTTAACAGTTAATGTCAGTACATCGAATTTGTATCAAAAGTCAAGTTTAATATCCTTTTTATGTCAATCATTCATTGTTTATATGATGCCCAACTCATTAGAATGATTGCCTTTTGTTATGTAGTCTTAAGGGATCAAAATCGGGATAAGACAAAAAATGTCCGGCTGGCACAAATATTTTTTGGAAGCCCTGTTCTATATATTGATTAGATATTTTCTATATAGTCATATACCTCCTGGTAATTTCTAAACTAATGATGATTAAAATAAAATCTTTTATTTTTTAGGATTTTAGACACAACGCTGAAGCAGCTAAATCAGCCTTGGATGGACAAGAAAGAAAAGGTCGTCATCTTAGAGTACGCTTTGCCAATCATGGAGCTGCAATTAAAGTGAAAAATCTCTCCATATCAGTTACTAATGAACTTTTGGAGCAGTCATTTTCACAGTTTGGTGAAATAGAAAGGGCCATAGTGATAGCTGATGAGAGAGGAAGATCTATAGGAGAAGGTCTTGTAGAATTTGCTCGCAAACCTGGAGCACAGGCTGCACTGAAAAGATGTACAGATGGTGTTCTCTTGTTGACAGCGTAAGTTTGAAGTTTAAAAAGTTTTATATAAAAAAAATTTCAAAGTAGAAAAGAGTTTTTTGAGTTTTGTAAAAATTATATGAAGTTTTTGCAGCACAAACTAATTTTTTTTATACGACCGCAAAAATTAAAAAATTTTTGGTCGTATATTGGTATGACGTTGGCGTCGTCGTCGTCGTCGTCGTCGTCTGGCGTCGTCCGAAGACACATTGGTTTTCGCACTCTAACTTTAGTTTAAGTGAATGGATCTCAATGAAATTTCACCATAAGGTTCAATACCACGAAAGGAAGGTTGGGATTGATTTTGGGGGTTATGGTACCAACAGTAAAGGAATTAGGGGCCAAAAATAATCATTTTTGTAACTTTCAGACAATAACTTGTGTGTAAGTGTATGGAACTCTCTGACATTGTACCACAAGGTTCCATATCACAAAGGGAAGGCTGTAATTGATTTTGGGGGTAATTGCCTCAAAATTTTAGGAATTAGGGGCCAAAAAAGGGGCAAAAAACAAGCATTTTTCTAGTTTCATGACAATAACTTGTGTGTAAGTGTTTGGATATTTCTGAAATTGTACTACAAGGTTCCATATCACAAAGGGAAGGTTGGAATTGAGTTTGGGGGTAATTGCCCGAAACGTTTAGGAATTGGGGGCCAAAAAGGGGCCAAAAATAAGCATTTTTCTAGTTTCCAGACAATAACTTGTGTTCAAGTGTATGGATCTCTCTGAAATTGTACTGCAAGGTACCATACCACAAAGGGAAGGCTGGGATTGAGTTTGGGGGTGATGAATCATAAGGGGGTTCAAAAAATTTGGGGGGGGGGATTTTTTTTTTTTTTTTTTTTTTTTTTTTCCTTTTTTTTTTCTTTTAAAATTTTCCATTTTAAGTTGGTTATTTCTGATTTATATTTAAAAGCAAATAATAATGATATGGTAGGAGATACACACCAAACAGGATGTGTAAATTATTATATAATAAGTATTGTGCAATAGCAAGAAATTTTCAATTGCACAGTATTGCACAATAGCAAGAAATCTTCAATTGCACAGTATTGCGCAATAGCAAGAAATCTTCAATTGCACAGTATTGCGCAATAGCAAGAAATATCCAATAGCACAATATTGCGCAATAGCAAGAAATTGTCAATTGTACAGTATTGCGCAATAGCAAGAAATATTCAATTGCACAGTATTGTGCAAAAGAAGATACTTCTTATAAATTGCTTATTTCTTGATCAATTTCAATGGGGTTTTATTCTTGAATTCTTGGGGTTCTTTAATATGCTGAATCTAACCGTGTATTAAGTTTTTGGATTTTGGGCCCCGTTTTTAAATTGGTCCACATTGAGGTCCAAAGGGTCCAAAATTTAACTTTGTTTGATTTCATCAAAAATTGAATTATTGGGGTTCTTTGATATGCTGAATCTAACCGTGTATTTAGATTTTTAATTTTGGGTCCCGTTTTTTAAATTGGTCTACATTAAGGTCCAAAGGGTCCAAAATTAAACTTAGTTTGATTTTAACAAAAATTGAATTCTTGGGGTTCTTTGATATGCTGAATCTAAACATGTGTTTAGATTTTTGATTATGGGCCCAGTTTTCAAGTTGGTCCAAGTTGGGTCCAAAATTAAACTTTGTTTGATTTCAACAAAAATTGAATATATGGGGTTCTTTGATATGCTGAATCTAAACATGTATTTAGATTTTAGATTTTTGGCCCAGTTTTCAAGTTGGTCCAAATTGGGGTCCAAAATTAAACTTTGTTTGATTTCAACAAAAATTGAATATATGGGGTTCTTTGATATGCTGAATCTTACCATGTATTTAGATTTTTTATTTGTGGGCCTGCTATCAAATTGGTTCATATTGAGGTCAAAAGGGTCCTAAATTAAACTTTGTTTGATTTCATCAAAAATTGAATTATTGGGGTTCTTTGATATGCCAAATCTAACCGTGTATTTAGATTTTTAATTTTGGGTCCTGTTTTTTAAATTGGTCTACATTAAGGTCCAAAGGGTCCAAAATTAAACTTAGTTTGATTTTAACAAAAATTGAATTTTTGGGGTTCTTTGATATGCTGAATCTTAACATGTGTTTAGATTTTTGATTATGGGACCAGTTTTCAAGTTGGTCCAAGTTGGGGTCCAAAATTAAACTTTGTTTGATTTCAACAAAAATTGAATATATGGGGTTCTTTGATATGCTGAATCAAAACATGTATTTAGATTTTAGATTTTTGGCCCAGTTTTCAAGTTGGTCCAAATTGGGGTCCAAAATTAAACTTTGTTTGATTTCAACAAAAATTGAATATATGGGGTTCTTTGATATGCTGAATCTTACCATGTATTTAGATTTTTTATTTGTGGGCCCGCTATCAAATTGGTTCATATTGAGGTCAAAAGGGTCCAAAATTAAAGTTTGTTTGATTTCATCAAAAATTTAATTATTGGGGTTCTTTGATATGCCAAATCTAACCGTGTTTTTAGATTTTTAATTTTGGGTCCCGTTTTTTAAATTTGTCTACATTAAGGTCCAAAGGGTCCAAAATTAAACTTAGTTTGATTTTAACAAAAATTGAATTCTTCGGGTACTTTGATATGCTGAATCTAAACATGTGTTTAGATTTTTGATTATGGGACCAGTTTTCAAGTTTGTCCAAGTTGGGGTCCAATATTAAACTTTGTTTGATTTCAACAAAAATTGAATATATGGGGTTCTTTGATATGCTGAATCTAACCATGTATTTTGATTTTGGACATTAGACCATAATAGGTAAATTAAAAAAATTGAAGTTCTTAGACCACATTCTTTCTGTGTCAGAAACCTATGCTGTGTCAAATATTTAATCACAATCCAAATTCAGAACTGTATCAAGCTTGAATGTTGTGTCCATACTTGCCCCAACTGTTCAGGGTTCGACCTCTGCGGTCGTATCAAGCTGCGCCCAGCGAAGCATTTTATTTTTTTTATGTCCTTATAATGCATTTATTACAGTATACACCAGGTCTGATTAAACATCAGTCTTGCTGGTTTATGTGGGTGATTCACACTGAAATATATTTTTATGTTCTATGAGTTATATAGGAAGAGGTTGTGTCCCAGGGTGCTATCACCAGCATCCATCTTGTTCCACAAGGAATCACTGTACACTGTAATCAAGAGAGATTTTAAACAGAATCACCTTGTTAGTAGTATTATTGAAATCGGGGAAAATCAGAAAAAGAAAATATAAAAAAACACAAATCTACAATGTTGCATTTGGTTTCAGATACCCCAGACCTATAATGGTAGAACCTGTAGATGTAAGGGATGAAGAAGATGGCGTTTCAGAGAGGTACCTGCCACGACATGATTCTATGAGAATGGACCGGGAGAAAGAACCAAGATTTGCACCAATTGGGTCATTTGAGTACCGATTTGCCATGAAATATCGTGAGGTTGATGAGATGGAGAAGCAACAGATGGAAAGGGTTAAGAAAGAAATGGATGAGATGAGAGTCAAACTGGAATCTGAAATGGAGGGAGCTATGTATGAATACCAAGCTGAACAGATCAGAGCAGGTCTGTTAAACATATCTACTTATGTAGTTCCACTCGTTATTGTACTGTATTATAGGATTTATTTATACTAAGTAAATCTTATCAGTATTATAAGGATTTAACATCAACATCAATCTAAGGAAAAATTTGTATGTAGACTAATTTCAAGCATTATTAAAGCGCCAAAAAGTTGATTTGGATCTAAACATTTGATTTGACTTGCGCTATCTTTTTTAAAAAATCAAATCCTAATTCCATAACAAAATATAGAGATTATTGGAGGCATTTTTATATAAGAAATATATAATTTAACTAGATACATATTTATCTTTATAGGTGAAATGTATATGTTATTATTAAATTAAAAAATGCAGCTTTGTAGATCAGAAAAAAATCAGACGTAATCTTTCGTGAACTAGTACTTTTCAGATTGATTTTTACACTTTCACATAAAAGGTCTGTATATCGGCTTCATTGTGAATAGGGACAAAGGTTGTAAAAGAAGTGTGTAAATTATGTTTGATATGTATTGTATATTTGATAGACTTGATGAGACAACAGGAAGAATTGAGAAGAATAGAAGAAATGAGAAACGAACAGATGAGAAGACGACAAGAATTTGATTCAAGGTTTGTTTCAGTCTTTGAAAATTTATTAATGTTGTATCAATGTATCGGCTATTTCATAATGTTAGAGTTATAAACACTCAACACTTCAATCTTTCAGCTCATAACTGCAATCTTACTCCAAAACAATGATTCTAAAATAAACAGACAGATTTTCCCAAAGTTTGACATCATCAAGGCAAGTTTCTCCTAGTGAAGATGAGAGATCTATCAAAACATTTTGCCATCTGTTACAACATTAAATATTTCATTTTAATAGTACATTATTAATATTGATTACTTATAGCAAGAAAAATATACTACACAAAAAATTGTAATGTTAATAATAAAGTTTAATTTGTCAATGCAGCATTATGCTTTTTCATTTGAAATTTCAACACTACCAAAATCTTTTACTGGAAAGAGCAATACATGTTTTAATAGACGCGAAATAGATCAAACCTTTGGGCTTCCTTCCATGTCAACACTATGAAAAAATGGAGGATGTAGTAATCTACAATTGTCTCTGACATGACAAAATACAATATTGTTTATGTAGTTTTGCAAACCCTTAAATACTGATTTTTTTCAGAAGAGATGAAGAAAACCGAATGATACGTGAGGAAGAAGAGCGGCGACGGGAGATGTTGATGAGAGGTGATATGGGTATGAGGGGTCCAGGAGGACCAAGGAATCAAATGGAACAGGTATAATTTTGTAAACACGGGATAAACATTTTTTAAATGTACATGTTTTGTGCATACAATGTATATTTTACAGAATCTTCTATTCTGTTTCGATAAATGAATTGAACTATTAAGCTTACTAAATGATATCAGTAGTCACCATGGTTGCTTTGTACATGTCAATTTAAAATCCTTGATAAGTGGAAGTGATAAGAAATTGTTATTTTTAAGGTGAAGTGTTTGCATGCATGTTAAGTCGGTATAAATGAAACTTGTCATATCTAGTTATGTAATGGATGGGCTTTGGTGTTAGAAGTTAAAAGTCATTTGTCATCTTGGAAAGTATTGATAACTAGATAAATAGGACATATTTTTGTATATATTCAGTATTGTAAGTATGACTTGAGGTCATGTGAATTTTGTTTTTTTTCACTTGTCCATGGTTGGGTAAACTGCCTTTGTCTACAAGTAAAAATCTTTTATAGATATGTTGAATGCAAATGCTTATCTGCTTATATCAATTGATTTGATGGAAAGTATTTTGATAAAAACAAAAGAAAAGAATGTTTGCTCCATAGGGTGGGCATGGGGAACAAGATGAAAGTTTTGTCACCCCTGTGCCAATTGTTGTGGATCGGTGAAAAAAAAAACAATGCACCAGAGCTGTAGTGTTTCATTAGTTTAAGAAAAACTCAAATTTTTTAGATCAAATGGTCAAAGACTTTATTTTACCGATTGTGATAAATATCAAGAAAAATAGGTTAGATACTTGAATGATTCATTTTCTTATGCTAAGTTTGCATTTCCACACTTTTTAAAATGGGATCGAAAAGATTTTGGTTAATGTCTTCTTACAGAGAGATGGAAGAGGCAGAGGTGCTGGTGGTCCCCCACCAATCCCTCCACCTCCAGTGCCACCCATGGGAATGGGAGGAATGAACCAAGAAGAAAATGTAAGGCTTATATGTTGTCATTGCTTCTGCTTAAAACTCTGCAAATAAAGTGATTCATGAATGATTCTTTACAGTACACATAAAATTATTGATTACTGCAGTGCCCATACAATTTTGATTCCTACAGTGCATATAAAATTTTGATTCCTTTGTACATTGTACTAAACTTTTGATATCTATGGTACACACACAACTACAGATTCCTACAGTGCACATACAACTATGATTCCTACCATGCATATATTACTGATTCCTGCAGTGCACATACAACTATGATCCCTGCAGTGCACATACAACTATGATTCCTACAGTACACATATTATGATTCCTGCAGTGCACATACAACTATGATTTCTACACTGCACATACAACTATGATTCCTACAGTGCACAAATTACTATGATACCTACAGTGCTCATACAACTGTGAATCCTACAGTGCCTACATTACTATGATTCCTGCCGTGCATATATTACTATGATTCCTGCAGTGCAAATATAAAAGTTTGATTGCTGTTTGGTGCACATAAAGCCATAGATTCCTACATTTAACATAAAACTATGGATTCCTACAATGCACATTCATGGTAATGAAATTTAAAAATCATTTGCTTGATTGTTGATCATGGTAGAACGAGCATAATATTCATTACACTTGAAAGAATCATTGACATAATAGATAGTCATATGTCACTATGTGGACATCTAGCATGCTGTTCTTTGTGAATGCATTCATGCAAGCTTTAACTGAATAACAGTAAGTGTACTGTTTTGTTTAATTGATTCAAAGAAATTATCTTGTATATATTGATCTTGTTTCAATTGTCCAGGGAGAAATCCAGCTGAATCACTTTATTTGCATAGTGTAATGTGCTTGTGTTTTGTATGTGAAAATCATTTTTGTTGAAAAAGTTCTTTAAAAATAGAGAAGAATATTTTATTAATGTGCATGTGAATTATCTTGTTTTCAAATAATTTAATTACGACAGAGAATACACAAATGTTGTGGCCATAAAAGTGTCTGTTGTTTATAATTTTGCAGGTTTTGCTTTTTTTTAAGAGATGTAAACTATGTCTTAACTTTAATAGAAATTCTAGCAAAAATGTTAAGTTTTTCTTTATTAACAATAAGGACAAAGGATACATTTCATGGGTACCAATTTTCATGGATTGTGGAACGGTTGTTTTTATACGCCCGTTTATGGGACGTATTATGGTATACCGTTGACCGTCCGTCTGTCCGTCGGTCGTCAACATGTCAGACATTAACTCAAAAAAGCTTTAACCAATATGCATGAAACTTTGGTGAATTGTTTATATCTATTGACGTGAGCTCCCTTTCGTTTTTATAAATTTCAGATTTACTGTTTCCGAGTTTTGGGGTTTTATTCATTAAAAAAGGGGGGATTTTTCAGTTTTCCGACAATAACTCAAGAATGCTTTCACCAACTTGCAAGGACTTTTGGTTAATTGTTTATATCTATTGACATGAGCTCCCTTTCCATTTTTATAAATTTTAGATTTTACATTTATGAGTTACAGGGTTTTATTCATAAAAAAAGGGGGATTTTCCAGTTTTGGACAATAACTAAAAAATGCTTTCAGCAGTTCTCATGAAACTTTGGTGAATTGTTTATATCTGTTGATGTAAGCTACCTTCAGAATTTTATAAATTTTAGATTTTACATTTCTAAGCTATGGGGTTTTATTCATTAAAAAAGGGGGGATTTTCCAGTTTTTGGACAATAACTCAAAAATGCTTTCAGCAATTCTCATGAAACTTTGGTGAATTATTTATAGCTATTGATGTAATCTCCCTATTGATTTTCATAAATTTCAAATATGTCATTGGGAAGAAATTGAACTTTATTTGTTTATAGTCTGACAACAGATTTACTAAGTATTGCACAACAGCAAGAAATCTTTAATTGAATATAAATTCAATTCATATAACCAATTTCAAGTTCTTTGACTACATTTATTCAGAAACCTATAATATGTCAAATATTTAATTACAATCCAAATTCAGACCTGTATCAAGCTTGAATATTGTGTCCATTTTTGCCCCAATTGTTCAGGGTTGGACCTCTGCGGGAGTTTCCAGCTGCGCTCAGCGAAGCAGTTTATTTTGTGATTATATGGTTTTGCTAAATTCTGTGTACAAGACCATAGAAAATTTTTACATAGTTGGATATTTAAATTCCTGGTTAACCTACACCCAAACTCTATGAATATTGGTAACCCATGAATAGTAATGAATCCACAATATGTGTCCTTTTGTAATTCATTTTCTGATTAACCGACAAACAAAATTATCTCAAAATCACCATGCTGGCATATCATCATTAACATTTGTGAAAAAGATTTTCAGACATGAGTATTTTTAACTTTTGTAAGTATTTTGTTCGAATTAAGTAGAAGTCTTGCAATGTGAAATGCTGAAACAAAAATCATAAATAAACATGCACTGGAAAAAATAAAAAGCACAAGTTATTTTAAACTGAATTCATATTTGTTCATGTGCCTCAGTGCATAATGGAAGCTAATTTAAAAAAAAATGGTAATATGTACAAAGTTAACCAAGGTGAACTATGAGTAGAGCACAGTTGTGGTAATGATTATATTGAGTGTAAAGATTGCTACTTTATCAGTTGTTTTTTAAAAGGCACATTGATACATTTTACTATGCAGATTTTCAAAGGCACGTATATACATTTTACTGTGCAGATATTAAATGAAAGCATCATTAGAATTGTAGTGAAAGTAATAATTTAAACGTGACAGGTCAAGTTGTTATACTGACCGAGAAACTGGAATGTTGTCATGTCAATTCTGCCCATGATATTGTATCATGGGTATTACATCACCAGCAATCATTGGTCTATCAGATACGTATATGAAAAAAAACAACAATTTTCATGGAAAGCATATATCAGATTATTGCCTTGAAAACTTGCAATCTATAATATGATTTTGACTTACAATTTGTGTCGCACAGATTCCTGGTGGTGAAGCTGGTGGCATGGGTGCTCGATACGGTGCAGGACAAGGTGACATGGAAGAGACAGGACATGTGGCTGTAGATGAAGGTGCAGAACGAGCACAAATGGTAATGTATTCTGCACATTTGCATAACCAAAGAAAACGTTTACATTCAAAACAGATTTGTCTTGAATATATCTTTGCGAGAAAAATTATGGTGATTAGTTTTTATATTTTCAGCATACTTTCATTTTATAATCATTCATGTCAAAAATGTAAAAGTTCATTGCAAATTTAAAAAAAATCACAAGTCTTAAAAAGATTAAAGCAACTTTACAGAACTGAGGGAACCAAGATTATAATGCAAAAGATGTATTCTGACATGATAAAAGCAGAAAAGAAATAATGAATGTAACATTACTACATTCCTTATTTCTTTTTACAATCTTCAGACAAAAAGATGAAATTTTGTATGTTATAAAATTTCACCTTTTTCTCACCATTCACACTTTCAACCAACACCTACATGAAATTAGGAATTCTTTTAAGATTTGGCACACACAGTGGATTACCATTATGCTGCATGATGTTGTCACTAAAAGAATTCCTAGTTAAATGAAAATAAGAAGAAAGAAGAAAAGAAAAAAGGTAGGTTCTGTCTACACATATAAACTATCTGCTTCAAATATACGATTCTGATGAATACATGTTGACTAATGTGAATATTGGAATTATTGACTTTTTTGTTTTTCTCTTCTTTGTGTGTTGCTGACAATTGTGACATGCATGTCCCTTGCATCAAGTGCTCTTAAAAGAAAACGTGGATGATTGATGAATAAACAAATTTAAAAACATAAAAGTGTATGGTTCAGTTTTACCAGTTCTTGTAAAAATCCATCGAAATACACTTGCTTGCTTGTGTATATTAATATGTGGCCAGCTTGCAGAATTCTGGAAAACACCAATTAAAAAAGGAGAAAATTAGTTGATTTATGTTTAAAAAATGGATAAAAGTGAATTATCATATTGGTATCTTTATTTTATGTTTGAGAGAATATTTTGAACTGTCAAGAAATGTCATCATCTTCAGCAGTGGTCTGAAGTCTTGTAGCCAATAAATCTCTGTAAAACCTTGCAATCGGCTCATAGTTCATGAGAGTTATACACAGTTGATTACAATGAAATTGTTTGTCATCGTCATCTTCAGAATGCATTTTTGAATTGGTCAAGAATATTGAAGATAGTATCTTACTGTATAACAGAAGGATGCATATTCACACTCAAGCGCATGACATGTCGGATATAAAAGCCTTGTGATCAATGGACTTGTGATTTTCAAATAGCTAAAATGTTTCCTGATTTTTCATTTTCCGTAATAATGTTTTGTATTTTATGAAGTCAGCAAATTTAAATAGAAAATAATCAGGAGAAATGAAAACGGATGTAGTTGAATGGTACTCTGAAGAAATAAATAAAAAAAAAATAATTTTCGAACATGTTATGTTTCTCTAATAGAAAAACTTAATGCTGGAAAATAAAGTATCCCAAGTTTAATAAAGACGCTGCTGTTTCAAAAATATGTGAAACAGAAGCAAAAGAATATGACTTGTATGAAAGCAAGAATCTACTTGAGAAAAAAAATTTAGCTCTTGTATTTTAACAATTTCATCAAAATTAAATAAATGATTTTTTTCTGAAGAAAAGGTGTGGCACTAGTTGAAAAGAATATCATATTTGTTCGTATATGATACACTAGTTGACAATTACTTTTGCATTGTAAATGAGGAAGGTCATGCAGAGGAATTGGGTACTGTCTTATTCAGTATTATGAAAAATGCAAAATGTACTACTGTATATTGTTTAAATTGAAAGTACTAAAAACTAAGAAATGTTGAGATTGGTTTGCTTGTATGTCTGCAAGGTTCTTTTAAATAATTGGCATTCTGAAATAAAGGTCATTTTTTAAGACATTGACGAAGAGATTATTTAGAAGATGTTATATATGATTATTAACTAACTGTCTTGGATGTTGATGTGTAGGCTGAAGAAATGAGCTGGTAAAACTGAAATCATACTAAAATGCTCTAATATTAAACTAAATATGAATGTAAAAATAATAAAATCTCTATTCAGAAAATTAAAATAATGCTTGTTCAGCAATTTATTGTTGGACAACCCTAAAATGTATACAATTAAATTAGTTATGTGGTCAATTGGACTGCAATATTTGTACACACTAAAGTTGTATTCAAGTTTTTTGTATGGTTTGTTATCAATGCTTCAGAAATGAACAGAGCATGGTAGATTTGTGTATGCCTTTAGAATGTGGAAAGAATTTCACAAACATTCACCAAAAATGAAAAAAAGGTATGCTATAGTATCAATGCTTTAGAGAATAACATGTATTAAAGCTGACTTGAACAAGTTTAGACCCAACAAAATCATGATAATAGTCCACACTTTGCTACGGGCCCACAAGCCCAGGCTTGTAAAATGGTTAACAGCAACTACAAAAATTTCTACTACAGGCTACTAGAATCAATACAAAGTTGTCTCAAAAACTAATTGGGCCTATGGACATAAAAGTTTCTACTGAAGACTGCTATGAAATTTTATGAAAAGCTGAGCAGGCAGATATACACGCATACTGAAAATGTTCATTTGTTAGAAACAATGTCTTCATTGTTGTAATCATCTTCTCAGCTTCAATACTCTGGAGATAAAGATGGGTATCAGGTTTAAGCTTTATTGCCGTTGTTGAAAAATCAGATAGTCTACAGCAAATTATCTGGAAAAAGCAGTTATCGTTTTATAATGTTTTTCTAACTGTGTTGTGTAGAGTTTTGGACTATTTTTGTTTTGGACTTGGTTAAACCAATAAAAATTGACAGATGTGAATAAACATTTGAATACACATCAATTTTTCATTTCTGATAACATTGCGTGTTAATCAGTGATATTTCAAGATATAAAGAAAGACACAATTTCTGCTGTCAAAACTAAAATTTGATTGTTGATTTGATAAATTCATCTGTAAGATATTTTCGCATCAAAAAATTCTTAAAGTGATATGAAAGAATGGCGGATACAGACAAATCAGAATATGAGATAAGATTCTGTATTGCTTTAGGTAATAATTAATGTGCTTTAATGTACGAAAACATGCAAGTGAGATACAATTGTTGAAAAATTTGGTATTCTTGCAACTAGAAAATGTATATAAAATATGTTTAACATTTAAGAATATTCATATAGAATTATAATGAAATCTAGATATACTTCTTAAAAGGAAATCAAGATGGTGTCAACACTTCATGATTTTGCTGATAGGTGATTATATATGACATAAATATGTATTACATGACTGAAGCTTATCCATGTTGCATGATACAAATTTAAAGCTTCATGTCATTTGCATTAAATTAAATGGAAGCATATAAAACATTGGTTGCATACTTCTATAAAGTGAAGTAATAAGAACATAATACTGACCACAATACACATTTTGATAATAATTTTCCGGGATACTTCTTAATTAAATAATAAGAATGAAAATCTTTCTATGTTTTATATTGGGTTGACATTATACATTGTAGTGATACAATCGAAAAACTAAATCTGATGTCTTTGCCAGAAAAGCTTGATAGAAGCATTTAGTTCTACATTGTAGTGATACAATCTAAAAACTAAATCTGATGTCGCTTTGCCAGAAAAGCTTGATAGAAGCATTTAGTTCTACATTGTAGTGATACAATCTAAAAACTAAATCTGATGTCTCTTTTCCAGAAAAGCTTGATAGAAGCATTTAGCTCTACATTGTAGTGATACAATCTAAAAACTAAATCTGATGTCTCTTTGCCAGAAAAGCTTGATAGAAGCATTTAGCTCTACATGGTAGTGATACAATCTAAAAACTAAATCTGATGTCTCTTTGCCAGAAAAGCTTGATAGAAGCATTTAGCTCTACATGGTAGTGATACAATCTAAAAACTAAATCTGATGTCTCTTTGCCAGAAAAGCTTGATAGAAGCATTTATTTCTTCATTGTAGTGATACAATCTAAAAACTAAATCTGATGTCTCTTTGCCAGAAGACCTTGATAGAAGCATTTAGCTCTTAAGTGGAGATCATAAAATGTGTGATCTTTATTGGTATGTCGTACAAAGAACTGGAAATCACAGCGTAACTTGGAGCAAGATTTTAATGGCACTATTGTTCTGTTCCCAGTTTATAAATTTGACGTTTGAACTAATGAAGACAATATTCTGCACCTCCCATGTGATTTGTTTGGATAACGGGAGGTTAAGGGTATAGGTCATTTAGACAACAACTCGGGTACACCATTCAATTAAAGTAGACCTCTAGGAACAAGTCTTTAGGAGGTACAGTTGCATATGCCTTGTTTTAATGTGTAAGTAAAAGTGGTCTTCCCTGGCACATTAAATCAAAGACTTAGATTGGTAATTGCAATTTTGATTTCACATAAAATCTTATGACTAAAATTGATCGTAGTAATCCTAATTGTGCATGACTGGCAATCAATAATTTTTTTGAGAAACTGGGACCAGGACTGCATTTTGTAGTAATAGTATTTGTCATTAGATGGTGAGCAACAATTAGTTAAGTTGAATCCAATATCAAATTTTGACAATGCCTGTACACATCTTGCAAGCTTTCTGATCAAGTTTAATAAGAAGAGTGAAAAAGAATATGAAATAAGCCCAACTGTCATACAGTATCTGTAAACAAACATGTCCACAAATCAACTCTTACAGAAGGGAGAAAAAATACAGGTACAGAAAATATGTATATTAATATGTATATTGCTGTTATTGGGTGTTTTTGATGACTTAAAATATAAATTAATTAATTATATAAAATATTAAAATAAATTAGATATAAATGAAACAAAAATAAAAACATAAAATATAAAAACTTGTGGAAGTTAAAGAGCACTTATAACAGAGGCTGATGGTCTTGGTGTGAAAAAGTTATCAGCAAAGATAAATCTATATATTTTATTTACAAAATGTATTTCCAGCCTCTGTGATGCAAGGGACATTTTAGATTGAATACTGTATTTGTGTTGTGGTTATTTTATTGATAATTCTTGTGTAACGTTTTCTGATACAAGCTATTTTTCAGATCATTTCTATAAGAGAAGCAGATTTAAAGAAATTGATGAAGGGTTATCTGTTGTGCTTAAGTGTTTTCCGTTTTAAAGATGTTGGATCGTTGAACACCATTATACTTTATATAGAAAGAACAGTTTTGAAATGCTTACACATACATAGTATTTGAAAATATCTATATGCCATAATACTTGCTGAAGAAATAGCCCAGAATTGAACCAATGATTCTATATTTAGACTATGTGATTGGGATATAATAATCTATTCCTCTGTTCACATACATCCTGTTGAAAAAAAGGATGTGTGAAAAACGTTCTTATTAATAGAATAATTTTTTATAGTACATTTTCCCCTTGGAAATGGTATGCAAATATTAAGTTATTTGGGTCACGAAGGATTTTATTCTGCTATTGTCAGTTTAGACAAATATATTATGACTTTCTTATTGCTCACAGTGATAAGCTTTCAGTAGAGCCATTTCTTATTTTTTATTTCCTTAGCCACCTTTCTTTGAGTATGGGTTTCAAAAAAAAAGAGGTTGTGACTTCACTTAAACTCTTACTCGCTTATTGGTGTGCTTTAGCATGGGAATCTTGGTTATATGTTAGCACATATTCAAATGTTGCATCTTAGATAAATTATAAAAAGTTTTAGCACATACTGGTATACAAAATGTATTATCAAAATTTGAATTTTCCCATCAGTATTTTAGTTAATTTTCTGCAGTTTAATATGAAGGAAGATTTAGATAATAGACTTGAAACTCTTAACAATTTTGATATAAGATATAAGAAAACTAAATTGTTTTTGATAGACATTAACCATTTTCTTTTCTCTTGTTTAATATTCAGATTCACAAATTTAAAAGCAAAGAAAGAAGAAGTAATTAATGTATCATGTCTTTTCTTCAGGTTCATTTAATCAGAAAAGGTACAAAGGCTCTACAAATTTTATATCATAAGTGACTAGAGGAATGTTTGGTTATCATATAAGGTCTTGATGGTGAACATCCTAATGTTCAAGTCTTTTGAGTGGTATGCAAAAAAAGTTCAGTATTTGTATGTTTGATTCATACATGTAGGTGAAATAAAGGTAAACAGTGGGCAGTATTTTTAACATGAAGAAATTAATAATTCTGTCGAACAGAATCAAAATGGAACTTTGAATTTAAATGAAGGGTAAATCTTAATTGAGTTTAAATGATTAAACTAACAAAGTTGAGGGCAATTTTTTTACATGGAAATTTGTAGTTGCTTGTTGCTATTATTCTTAAAAAAGATGGATTTTGTCTTTTTGTCCTTTGGAATTTCAACAAAAGGTCTTGTTTGTTTTGAGAAATCCTAGTAAGAAAACTATTTGAAATAGTAGATTCGACAGATGTATTTGATTAAAGACTTTTTCTCTTTAAATTAAAATTGGAAGTGTGTATTTAATTGCATATGATAGATAAGCTTGGACAAACAAAAGGGTTTTTTACATCTAACAAGTTTGCTTTTTTCATGGTATTACTGATTCTGAAGTCAATAATTTGTATAAACTTCATTTTCATCAAAATTTGGTTATGTAACTGCTAGAAATTACTAACAAAGGGAAAGTTTCTGCAATCTTAAAGCAGTTTGAATATGCAAAAGAGCTTGAAGCAAATCAATATGTTGATTACTTGTTTAAAATCAATGTCAGTTACAACATTTATCAGTGATTTGTACAAGCAAGTGATGTATGGTAGGAAAGTTAGTGGAATTTTTCTTTGCAAAAAATTGTACTGCTTCAAAAATGTTACATTAAAATGTGAAGTAAAAAACTGATGAAACATCTATTTTTATTCATGTGTAGAATCAAGTATGATGTCAAACCATTTGGGAGAGTATTTGGAAATTAATATTTCGAAAGAAAATCATGAAAGGTTTACATATGCTTGAAGTTTAAAGAAAACTTTTTGTAAACTAGAAAGCTGCCCAAGATAAATAATAGTATGAAGACATGCAGTAAATTTTTAATGTTTTTTGAACTGAAAACTGATGAAAAATGTTTACATTAGTGTGTGTTTCTAACTATTCTAGTCGTCGTGTATTTTCACGGTATGTGATGTATGAATTGAATAAAGTTTTTTTGAGAAAAGCAACTTAGTGGCACAGTATCCACGAAGTAGCTGACTGTTTTATGTATTTATTGAAAGAATACAGCAAAACTTGATTTGATATATAAAAAAGTAAATATTGTATATGGTATGGAATATCTTGAGATTTGACAATTCTTCAGCAAGTATATGGTGTACGTATTATAGAATGATGTGAGCAGGTATAGAAATTAAGGAACACTAGCACAACAGATACCCAGTATGTGTTTACTTTGATTGGTAAGCAACTGTAGAACCATAGCTAACATATATTTTCCTTTCTCTTTTTTCCCCCATGGCTTTGCTGGATGTACCACATGATGTCTTGCGATGAAATATACAACTCGAAACCTAATGGACTATATTTGAAATGTGACCTAAATATGAACACTTGAAATGGAATATAAACATTTATATCTTGACACTTTAAACCCTTAAATCTTAAATATTTCATTATCATAACTGAAATGTTTATGTGTGAATTGGTGTACTCGTAAACAGCAGGCAAGATTTCAAGGAGGCAGAGGAGGTTTTGGTGGAAACGGAGGTGGTTTTGACAGAGGCATGGGAATGGGAGGTGGAATGCAGGGTCAGGGAGGTATGGGAGGGGGTTATGGTGGTAGACCTGGTATGGGACGGGGTGGGATGGGTATGGACAGAAGGAGAGAAGGTGCAACACAAGAAGACTTTGGAGAAATGAAAAGAATGCGTAGATACTGATTTTTTCAAGTGCTCTATATAAAACAGTTATATTAGGAAATTCATATCCGACCATTTTGAAGATAATTCTACACAAAACCAAGACTTATTTTTGTATTTTTAATCACAATAGACTTGCCGTAGGTAATTCTCGTTTAACATTTTATGAACATTTTCATCCAAATGAGATGACATCATAACCAATTCATTGGAAGTATTCAAGATGAAGTTTTTAAATCATTTGTACATATATATCGTTTTATTTGATCACTGTTCCGCTAACATTATTTGACGTTGAAATCTTTTGTAATATGTGAATGTTGTCTCCTACATCGTAATTTTGGAACATGGTAAATCATTTCATGCATTTGGCATTATGCTGTTTGTAATTTGTGTGTTAGTGAATGTGTTAAAATCAAAATCTCAAGTATCAATATTGATATCAAATAGTTTTGGGTCAAAGCAAGTTCCAGGAAGAAAGAAAAACATTTGAATCACAGGTCAGATGTGTTGAAACAGTGAGTTTGATAATGGTAGAAGCTAAGAACATTTTGAAATATATTTGATTTGTGAAAGTACCTCACATAGTATTTTGTGACGAGGACTGTCTTCATTTATTCATTGTGATAATCATATCGTTGAAATACAAACAGTCCTAGAGAGAGAGAGAAAGAAAGTGACAGAAACAATTTTTTTTTATGTGTATTGTATTTTATTTTTGTTGACCATACCTGTAAATTTTATTCATGTCATGTCAAAAATGTCATTAAACCAACAAAAACAGAATTAAAAACGATTCTTGTCATTTCTCTATAGTGCATTAAAACCCAGAATTTTGAGAGACAGTAATGATTCAGTGGTTAAAAGTATTTAACACTTCATTATATGTTTGGTGGTACACTTTCTGTATTACCAAGTTTAAACCATCATATATCATATTCAAGCATAGAATAAGATGAGAGATTTCAAACAGTAATTTTACATAAAAAGTGTAACTGCATTGTTGGAATGTAAACTTGGATAGAAAATCATCTCTGATAGAATTAAAGCTTGTGGTATATAAAAGTTATGGAAGTCTTATTCTTAATAATAGAAATTTCAGTTGTTTGTCATATTTTTTTTTTAATATGATGTTTTAAATCGGATTCAATATGGAACTTTCTGAAGAGGTCACAATCATAAAAGGTTATTGGTATAAATAGTCTGATGAGAAACAGAAAGTTGCATGTATTTCTGAGTATTAACAGTTTAAAGTGAAGAACTTAATGATTTACAATTGTTAGTATTGAAGGCTGAATCTTTTCTTCGTTTAAGGGACAATTTTCGGAGATGAAAATTGCTACATATGCTTTGGTAGATTAATAAAATTGGAATAATACTTGATTAAATGTTAAGTAATTTTTAAAGATATCTTTGCCTATAAAAACCAGAATTTAATTAATGAATTTGGCAGTTTTGTCAATGGATTGTCTAAAGACATTGGGAAGTTTTGTGATTTTTATGAAAAATTATCACTGGAAGTTAAATGTATGGATATGGCATCAAGATTTTTAGGCCACTTTCAGTTGTTTCTAATTTAAAAGAGAAAAATTTCTACATTATTCTTTGAGTTGTTGGAATACAGAAATGGGCAATGAATTCTTGGACATATACATTGTGCTGTTCTCAATGCTTCTGTTTGACTCTGAGATAGAGGCTCTAAGTATAAATCCATACGACTTTTATTTTGTAAGGCTGTATGTGTAGCATTAATGCATTTTCAACTATTTAAATGAACTATAGATTTTTCTTTTCATAAAAATTGTCACGTTCAAAATTAAGTTGCCTGTCACTGTACATTTGATTATTATCGAAATTTTTCAAAGCGTAATATGCAATGGTTTTCAGTCATCAATAGGCCTCATTATGGATTAAAGGTGGTAGGAATTCCCGTTTGAAAACAAATAAGCACTATGATAAAAGTCGAGTTCTGTTTGAACTTTGATGACTATTAAAGTTTAGATTTTGTTTATCGCGAGTCGATTTAACCCCCTTGAAAATTCCTGGCTACAGGCCTGGTTCATGTATTTGAACTGCATGTCCTTAGCAACTGCCTAGGCATAACATTACAATACACAAGCAACTGCCTAGGCATAACATTACAATACACAATCTACAAAAGAAATAATTTCTTTTACTAGCTTCAAGTATGTAATATCTTATACTCTTAAATACATCCACTCAGTATTACAAGTATTAAAACATCAAATACAACATCAACTGTCTATATATTTAAAAAGTGGGTGGATGGTTGGTTCGGTAATGACTGCACTCTCCGAAAGGATAACACATAATAAAACATTGATTTACCATTACAATTCATGCTGCTTTTTTAAGCTCGTGAAAAACTCAATTACTGAGTAGACCTTAGTCAAAACAAATACATGTGTTAATTAAAACATTTATAAATACATTTTTAATGGGTACTGTGTGCATTAGATTTGAGTTTGCTGTTCGCTGAATCATGAATTCTTTAGATACTGTAAATAAAGATATAAATGAAAGGATATATGGGATGTATGTCAAAGAGACAGCAACCCAAATGACAAGAAAACGTCTTAGACAGGCTTGTCATTTTTGTGTTAGCTGAACCAAGAATTTTTTCAGACTATTGCAATTACAGAACAAATTTGTCATTCATGTTTTTCAGTCTGTCATTTTTTGATTAGTTCCATGATATGTTGCTAATACATGTATTAACAATTGTCACTCTTTCTATTCATAGAAAACTGATTATATTGATTTTATTGTCCAGGAAACAACACATGCAGACTTTATATTGTAGTTCTTTTCACTAACTTGGTCATACTGTAATAGAAAATAAACAACCTCAAATTCTTTGTGTGTAGTCCCAAGTCAGGAACCTGTTTTTCAGAGGTTGTTGTTGGTTCATGTCTCATTTTTTTTTTTTTTTTTTTGTAAATGGTTGTGTTATAAATTAGTCAGTTCCTTTTCTCAATTGCAAACAGTTTCATATATTTCATGTCAGGACTTTTTATAGCCAACTATACGGTATGGGTTTTTATACGCCCGTTTACGGGACGTATTATGGTATACCGTTGTCCGTCGTCAACATGTCGGACATTAACTCAAAAACGCTTTAACTAATTTGCATAAAACTTTGGTTAATTGTTTATATCTATTGACGTGAGCTCCCTTTCGTTTTTTATAAATTTTAGATTTCACGTTTCCGAGTTATGGGATTTTATTCATTAAAAAAAGGGGGATTTTCCAGTTTTCTGACAATAACTCAAGAATGCTTTCACCAACTTGCAAGAAATTGTGGTGAATTGTTTATATCTATTGACATGAAGTCCATTTAGATTTTTATGTATTTGAGATTTTGCGTTTCCGAGTTACAGGGTTTTATTCATAAAAAAAGGGGGATTTTCCAGTTTTCAGACAAAAAATCAAAAATGCTTTCAGCAGTTCTTATGAAACTTTGGTGAATTGTTTAAATCTATTGATGTAAGCTCCGTTTAGAATTTTATAAATTTTTCATTTATCATTTCTGAGTTATGGAGTTTTATTCATTAAAAAAGGGGGGATTTTCCAGTTTTCGGACAATAACTTCAGCAGTTCTTATGAGACTTTGGTGAATTGTTTATATCTATTGATGTAAGCTCCCTTTACATTTTCATAAATTTCTGATATGACATTGAGAATTAATTGAACTTTATTTGTTAATAGTCTGACAACAGATTTACTAAGTATTGCGCAACAGCACAGTGTATTGCACAACAGCAAGAAATCTTTAATTGAATATAAATTCAATTCATATAACCAATTTCAAGTTCTTTGACTACATTTATTCAGAAACCTATAATATGTCAAATATTTAATTACAATCCAAATTCAGACCTGTATCAAGCTTGAATATTGTGTCCATTTTTGCCCCAACTGTTCAGGGTTGGACCTCTGCGGGCATATCCAGCTGCGCTCAGCGAAGCAGTTTATTATCATTGTTGAAGGCCTTACAGTTGCCTATAATTGCTTACATCCACTTCATTTGAGCTTTAGTTGATAGTTGTCTCATTGGCAATTATACATCATTATTTTTGTATATTGGTATACAAGTTTTGGATGGTTGTTTGACGTTAATACGCCAAATATTACTTGCATATTCAGGAGGAAACATTCAATAACAGGGATGTTCTTTTGATTTGGCTTTCTCCCAAGTTTTTATACGACCGCAAAAATTTTTGCGGTCGTATATTGGTATGGCGTTGGCGTCGTCGTTGTCGTCCGAAGACACATTGGTTTTCGCACTCTAACTTTAGTTTAAGTGAATGGATCTCTATGAAATTTTACCATAAGGTTCAATACCACAAAAGGAAGGTTGAGATAGATTTTGGGGGTTATGGCACCAACAGTTAAGGAATTAGGGGCCAAAAATAAGCATTTTTGTAACTTCCAGACATAACTTGTGTGTTAGTGTATGGATCTCTCTGACATTGTACCACAAGGTTCCATATCACACAGGGGATGCTGGGATTGATTTTGGGGGTAATTGCCTCAAAATATTAGGAATTAGGGGCCAAAAAAGGGGCAAAAAACAAGCATTTTTCTAGTTTCGTGACAATAACTTGTGTGTAAGTGCATTGATCTTTCTGAAATTGTACTACAAGGTTCCATATCACAAAGGGAAAGCTGGAATTGAGTTTGGGGGTTATTTCCCAAAACGTTAAGGAATAAGGGGCCAAAAATAAGCATTTTTCTAGTTTCCAGACAATAACTTGTGTTCAAGTGTATGGATCTCTCTGAAATTGTACTGTAAGGTACCATTCCACAAAGGGATAGCTGGGATTAATTTTGGGGGTAATTGCTTCAAAATTTTAGGAATTAGGGGCAAAAAAAGGGGCAAAAAACAAGCATTTTTCTAGTTTCAGGACAATAACTTGTGTGTAAGTGTATGGATCTTTATGAAATTGTACTACAAGGTTCCATATCACAAAGGCAAAGCTGGGTTTGAGCTTGGGTGTAATTGCCCTAAAGTTAAGGAATTTGGGGCCAAAAAGGCCTTAAAGGGGCCAAAAAACAAGCATTTTTTCTAGTTTCCAGACAATAACTTGTGTTCAAGTGTATGGATCACTCTGAAATTGTACCACAAGGTTCCATGTAACAAAGAGAAGGCTGGGATAGAGTTTGTGGTTAATTGCCCCAAACATGTAGGAATTAGGGGCCAAAAAAGGACCAAAAACAAGCATTTTTCTAGTTTCCAGACAATAACTTGTGTGTAAGTGTATGGATCTCTCTGAAATTGTACTACAAGGTTCCATACTACAAAGGAAAGGCTGGGATTGAGTTTTGGGGTTATTGCTCCAAGGGGGGTTTCAAAAAGTTGGGGGGGGGGGGGGGGGATTTTTTTAAGGGATTAATATTTTTTTTTCAAAAATTTTTAAATTTCGAATTTTTGAAAAGTGCAAGAAGAAATCTTCAATTGCACAGTATTGCGCAATGGATTTATAAGATCTTTGACCACATTTATTTTGTGTCAGAAACCTATATTAAATCACAATCCAAATTCAGACAGTATCAAGCTTGAATATTGTGTCCAAATTTGCCCCAACTGTTCAGGGTTCGACCTCTGCGGTCGTATCAGGCTGGGCTCAGCGAAGCATTTTATTATTAGTTGAATTTTTATGTTGCCTAGTAGATTTCTGTATTGCAGCCATACTTGGATACATTGTACATGTACTCACGTATTATGAGAGGAAGATCCCAATTGAATTTGAGGTCACTACCTCTAAGATC